GCGTCGAAGAACACGAGAAATTAAACTTGAAATAGCAAATTGTGGCTGAGTCCTCATTTTGGATTGCCAGATCTTTCATACCCTTACACGATGAGTGCATATCCATTCGCCCTGTCTGCACCCAAAACATCGTCTCCATGTGAGACCACACAATCCCTCACTTAATCAAATCGTGTTCAAGAAACAAGTGTAAGCAGCTTATTTCAGCTGCGATGCCAAACATAGACGTAGGGCAGCTGATTGTCAGTGCGCTACCACAAACAGAGCCGAGCTAAGGCGTCCTCAACTACAAGGCAGAAGATGTAGTGTGTACACGAGCCCGTTTAATTGGACTGAGTATTTCGTTTTTCCTATAACCGGCCTGCTTTACTGTGACATAACGCGGGATGTAAAAATTTCTCATAACTTGTTTATTTGAGCAAATACATGCAGCAAAATTATACTTGCAGACTGTCTGATTATGTGACATTCAAGAGTAGATTGAGCCGGTGATCAGACCACTCAAACGCTGTGCTACGAACACTGCATTTTACTATAAACAATAAAAGAGATAATTTTGATTTTGTGCAATATATAATTGGCAAGTAAGAAGTGTTTAACATCTAACCTACCCATTGTAATTGTCTCACCACCACCACCACCATCTGTTGAGGAAGGCAGGTTCTTCACTTCCGTCCCCTCACTATTCATATTCATGTGCTAAAGTAAAACCTGAAGGCACTCGTGAGCGTCTTCTTGGGTCATGGATGAATGCAAGTAAGCAACACTATCGCTAACCTCGCTTACTATGTCTCCATCTGCTCTCAGCATTCAATTTCACCAAACCCATTTAATACGGAATAGGCAAATTCGACGTTGACACTTCCATTCCAAGCTCCACACTTTTGTCAGTGCGGCTTCAAACTGGGAGTTATAAGCAAGGCAATGGGGAGCATCATCTAGTGGGTTCACTTATTCCTAAAGCTGACTAGTAAACCCAATCCGCCTCCACTTTGTACGCCAGCTGATCTGGCCTTTATTTGTGTTGATTAACTGCTTCGCAAAAGCAGTTCTGAGGCGCCTTTAGACAAAGTGATGGCTTTCGTTTCCGCTATACCATTAACATTGCAATCTTGGGCCTTTACTTACTGCCACAATCTAAATGTTTAGCGAGTTGTACACAGTTTTAGTGCCTAAACAAGGCGTAGGAAGAAGCAACTCATTCGGGTGGAAGTGTCAACCTCGAATTCGCGCATTCTGTCACAGGTGAGTTTGATGAGATCGAATGTAAGGAGTGGACAGACACATATGTGAGCAAATTTTGCAGCTGTAATCGTTCCCTTGCAGTTGTCAGCGCTTCTGCAACTGGACTGCCACAGTTACACGGGTCGCTTCTGGCTTTATGACAGTACATGAACGTGGACAATTTATTGTT